TTGTAACAGTACGTTTCTGACTTGTTTCTGAATATGATTAATACTCATCGTGGTCGTATCGCATCTGCTTAGCATCATTCGTACTACTACGATTACCAGTAATAGTCACATCATTGGTAGTATCGCTTGTAGTATCAGTGTTGTAAGTTTCGGTAATATTGTGGTTTGGAATCGCGTTCGCCTTCGTCGTCGCATGAACATTCGCAGTATGACTCGTAGTAGTCGCCTTCTTATTCGTAGTAGTAGGAATTAGATAATTATTCGTATGAGTAGTGGTGTTGCTATCTTTAGTTGTAAGCGTGAGATTGTTCGTATTAGCCGTCCTCTTACTATTCCTCACCCCCTCCGCTTCCTCCTCCACCTTCTCATCATCAACATCATCAGCATAATCAGTGTCATCATCATCATCCTCATCATCATCCTCACCATCATCATCGTCATCAGCATCATCATCAGCATCAGCATCAGCATCATCATCATCAGCAGCAGCATCATCAGTAGCCTCGTCATCCTCATCCTCATCAACATCATCATCAGCAGCGGCAGCATCATCGCCGTCATCAGCATGAGCAGCATCATCAACATCATCAGCATCAGCATCAGCATCTGCATCATCATCATCAACAACATCGTCGTCATCATCGTCATCATCAGCATCCTCAGCAACAGCATCAGCATCAGCATCACCATCATCATCATCAGCATCAGCAACATCATCATGATCCTCATAGTCATTGTCATCATCAGCATCATCATTAGCCTCGTCATCCTCATCCTCATCATCATCAGCAGCAGCATCAGCATCATCGCCGTCATCATCATCATCAGCAGCATCATCAGCATCATCATCAGAATCAGCATCATCAGCATCGTCGTCATCATCGTCAACCACATCATCATCACCAGCATCATCATCACCATCATCATCATCATCAGCATCATCATCCGTTTCCTCCTCCTCCTCCTCATCCTCCTCCCATTCCTCCTCCTCTTCCTCCTCCGCCTCCGCCTCCTCATCCTGCCCCTGCCCCTGCTTCTGCTCCCCCTCATCCTCCTCATCCTCCTCCTTCTCCTCCACGACCTCCTCCTCCTCAGTATCCTCCTCAAGATCCTCCTCCTCCTCCTCCTCCGTCTCCTCCTCCTCCTCCTCCTCCGTTTACTCCTCCTTCTCCTCCGATTCCTCCTCCTCCTACTCCTCCCCGTCCTCGTCCTCGTCGTCGTCCTCCTCCTCCTCCTCCTCCTCATCCTCCTCCTCCTCCTCCTCCTCCTCCTCCTCCTCATCATCATCATCAGCAGCATCATCATCACCATCCTTCTCCTCTTCGTCTTCCTCTACGTCTTAGTTTTATTCTTATTATTTTCCGTATTAGAAGTATTATGTGTTATGAGTGTGATCATTATTAGTGTTGTTATCATGAATAGCATTAATTGTACTATTATCAATTCGTGTTCGCATTATGGTTCGTACTAGTAATACTAGCACGATCATTAGTTTTCTTCGGAGTAATATGAGTCTCCTTAGTCTTATGATCATCTTGAATAATAATAATAATAATATTAATAATAATACTAATAGTTTTCTTCATCTCATGATACCGGAAAACAAAGCCCAATGAAAGTCTTCTTAGAGCTATAGGGCTATAGGGCTATGGGGCTATTGGGCTATGGGGCTATAGGGCTATGGGGCTATAGGGCTATAGGGCCATAGAGCTATAGGTCGAGAGGGCTATAGGGCTACAGGGCCGTAGGGCTATGGGGCCATGGGGCTATGGGGCTAGGGGGCTAGGGGGCTATGGGGCTGTGGGGCTATGGGGCTACAGGGCTATATGGAAATTGGGCTATGAGTCTATATGGCTATGGGCTATAGGACTACAGGACCATAGGGCTATAGGGCTATGGGTATATAGGGCTATGGGGCTATAGGGCTATAGGGCTATAGGGATATAGGCATATAGGCATGTAGAGCTATAGGGCTAGAGGGCTAGAGGGCTATAGGGCTGCAGGGGCTACAAGGCTATACGACTATTGGGCTATAGGGCAATAGGACTATAGGGCTATAGTGCTATTGGGCTATTGAGCTATAGAGCTACAGGGCTATAGAGCCACAGGGCTATAGGGCTGTAGTGCTATAGGGCTATAGGTATGTTGGGCTGTGGGGCTATAAGGCTATTAGGCTATAGGGCTATTGGGATACAGGGATACGAGGCTACAGGGCTATAGGACTACAGGGCTATAAAGCAGGGCTATAGGGCTATAGAGCTATAGGGCTATAAGGCACCCGGGCACCTAGGCACCAGGGCACCCGGGCGGGCTGCAGAAATCGGTGGCAAAGCTCACCTAATCATATGGACCCGCTAGGACCCCTACAGAGGCAAGCTCTGATTGAGGAATTATAATTATTATCCTTATGATTATTCTTCTTAGTCGTCGGATTCCTCTGCTTATGCTCATCAATAGTGTTTGTATTATGTTGTCACTAGTACCATTATTGACAAGATGA